CTCGTTCCTGATTTTAGTGGAATTGTTTTGAGTTTCTCTCCATTTAATTTGATGTTGGCTTGCTGTAAATTGCCTTTATTATGTTTAGGTGTGTTCCCTATATTCCTGTTTGCTCCAAGACTTTTATCATGAAGGGGTGTTGGATTTTGTCAAATGCCTTTTCTGCATCTAGTGAGATGATCATGTGGTTTTTTTTTTCCTTTGAGTTTGTTTATATGGTGTGTAAATCTCTTTTTTAATGCATGCATTGTATATTACCTGCTAGAATCAAATGCCTAAATAAATTGGGATCTTACTAATATAGCCATGGCAACACTGGAAAGGCATCAGATTCCACACAGAAAAGATTTTGGCACATCATGAAAACATGGACATGTTGCTGATCTTTCAGTTCCCGGACAATCATACAAAATCGTTATCCTTTATTTTCATCTAGGGCAATTTCTTGAAAGGCATCCAAAGGAAATTGATAACAGCAGCTATTATTAATATATACCAAATGAGGTATAAGCACCAAAGTAAGGCCGCATATTTATATTCAACAAGAAGCTCACATACTTAACTTTGTGGGAAGAAATAGCCTCCTCACAAGCCTGGGCTCAGTACTGTTACCTAATGTGCCAGGCTGAAAAGGGATTTTGCAACTTGGTCAGCCAAAGAAGCAATGTGCTGAGGAAATCCTATACCAATAAGTGAGCATTTGAACCTTAAGGAGAAGGACAACCATTATGTGTTAGCACTTTTTTTTTTTTTAATGGGTTTCCTCTAAAACAGTGTGGTCTGTGCTATCAAAGTATGGTACAAACCTAAATTTCAGCAGATGGTCCAGTAACAGACACTAATCTTAGTGATTAGATCATAACTAATAGTGAATTACAAGTAGTAAGATGATTAGAACTTTTCTACTTATGTGTCTAGGAATATGTTTTGGGTTTGCATAATCATTTAAGGAATTTTAGAGAAATGGTTCTCCATGGAAGATCATATTTCTGACTTTTTAAAAAGATGTTATTTTCCAGAGAATTCAGTTAGATTTTCAGCTCTTTTAGTTACAGCTTTTTCAATTAGACTGATACAGTTTGGGTCAACATAGTCTTTTGTGAAGTATTCCAACAACTTGAATGTACGGGTCAGGCTGTTAGGCTTAAATTTTGGTCCTCAAGGCCCTGGGTTCGGTCCTCAGCTCTTGGGGGGGAAAAAAAGACAAAATTTTGGTTCTCCATTGTGCAAGAACAGTTTATCAGGATTCATTTACTATAACAAAAAAGTGGCACATCAGTCTAAGTTTTCTTCTTGCCTTGAAGAGAACATACTCTGTTGTGAAATTAAGTGAGCTTAATTCACCTTTTAAGAATTTCCCAGCCAGGCATAGTGGCACACACTTTTAATCCTGGCACTTGGGAGGCAGAGGCAGGTGGGTCTCTGAGTTCAAAACTACATAGTGAGTTCCAGGCCAGCTAGGGCTACATAGAGAGCAGCCCTGTGTAGCCCTTTTTTCCCTGTCTGAAGGGAAAAAAGGAAGAATTTTCTCTCTTCTTTCATGACCTTCTCATTGCTTATTTCTTTCAGAAGTGTTTATTATATTTTATTTTGTGTGTATGAGTGTTTGCCTACATGTATGTATATATGTGTGCCTGATACTCATGAAGGCCAGCAGAGGTGATGGAATTCTCTGGAACTGGAGTTACAGTTGGTTGTGAGCCACCATACCATGTATGTGCTGGGAACTGAACCTAAGTACTTGGCAAAAACAGCAAATACTCTTAATTGCTGAGCCATCTCTCCAGCCCCTCATCCATATTTTTAAAAAATGTGATACTATTTAATACTTGGTCCTGCAATGCTTGACTCTCCTGATACCTTCCTGTTGGCCACATTGCTATTATTTGAGTGATCAAAGGACCAAGGTAGTAATTGCTGGGTCTTTATGTTGTCAAGTTGTGTGTTTTTTTTCTTTTGTGATTACTTAGAAATGTGTATCTGAGAGAATATATCATTATTTAGCTCATCTTGCCTCACTTATTTTCTTGCTTTTCATCTTATTTGGTCATTTGTTCAGTATGACTTGATACTTTCCATATATATATATATATATATATATTATATCACATAAAGTTATATTTAGTATAACCAAAACTGGTAGACTGTTATTACGGATAGACTTCAGTGTCAGGAGATAGCTAAAAGCAGAGCTGGGGTGAGGAGGTTACATACATTACATACAGCACATGAAAACGGGAGGCATTTTTTTTTCCACAGGATTTTTTGTTTGTTTGTTTTGTTTTGTTTTGTTTTTCAAGACAGGGTTTCTCTGTGTAGCTTTGCGCCTTTCCTGGGACTCACTTGGTAGCCCAGGCTGGCCTC